ATGGAAACAATCACATTGCTCACCGAGGCAGCTCTAGCTGGGGCGAAGTGCAAGGCGTATGTCTACATGCTGTTAAACATTATACTGTTGGGCTTATCCCATGTGGGTCCTGCGGGCCCTATTGGGGGGGGGGGAGGGGGGGGGGTAATAGACCCACTGCTCCTTTAACAGGCATGTTTGTGTAAGTCGATTAATTAGGGGTGTTTCATTCGAAGTCTGACTGCATCTGCCTCAGGAGTGAGGATCCAACAGTCAGCAAGCAAGTAAACCGGATCTGTAAAACTGATGTGCACGTAAAACTCAAGTTTTGGAACAAGATTACTGTCCAGAAGTGGGTGAACAATCCCAACTTTCCGTATGAGTTTACAGCCGGTGAACGCCAAGACGCAGCAGCAACAGAAGAAGAAGAAGAAGTCAAAGGAAAAAAAATGATGAGGAGGGGGGAGGAGGAGGATGAGTGTTGTGCTTGACTGATGTGAGCCGGGTGGTGTGATGACAAAACCTTGAGCTATTCTACATTTAACTTGTTTAATGCATCTTCCATCTACAACCAGTGACTGAAACGTATCAGTTTGCTAGAAGATGGGCCGATTTACTTTGATATTGAGTTTTTGAGGGCCTTTTTTCTTTGTAATTACTGTTACTCCTTTTCTTTTCTTTTCTGTTACAATTACCTTTTTCCTTTTCATCCATCAAAATATATGGTCGTAATGTCGCAGTTTGCTCTCAGTATACCCACCGACCGATATTTCTGGCATACTGAAATGTATAACTAAACGTTAAACGTTATACTCAAGTGGTGGTAAAAAAATTTCACACAAATAAGTAATCGGGCGAAAAATCAATTCATATTTTTTTTTTAAATATCCAGAAACCATGAGTTCTTAACCCTTTGGCTCAGTACTATGGATATCTCAACCCTTCGGCCTTGATTCCGTGATAAATACCGTAAATCTGGGAGAAATATGGCTTTTTTGCCTACCCCGGGCGTATCAATTCAGTTAGAAAGCTGTATAACTGGGAGATATATGTGGACACGCTCGGCTACAATGAAATGTCCGAAACAGGTAGCCGCTACAATATTGGGCGGACATAGTTTGCGGACTGAGTGGACATTTCCGCCGACCGGCGCCTTTCCGAGGACCGAAGTTGAAGAACAGGTCCTTTTAAGATGTTGCTGTTACGTTGTTTTACTAGGCAGTTTTACTTTCAGCAGCTTTTGTTTGAATTACCGTGCGCTATCACCCGATTCATTCAACTGTAGAGTGAGAACAGGTAGCCACCGTGGTGTAGACATTTTGTTTGTCAAAAGTGACTTTGGCTTCCAGTCTACCCAGCTTTTAGTGGGTACTAGGTATAGTCATAGGAAATAAAAGCGACCTGTGTGATGCTGACATCATCATCCATCAAGTACCGATTGGTCTATAAAATATACGTCTAGCAATATACGCTCAATACGTCTGAAGATATGGATAAGAGTCCTTCACTTGTACTAATCGTATCCTATCTACAGGCGGGAGCAAAAGAATGAAAACAGAGGGAGTGGGAGGAGAGGCGTAACAACCAAAGGCGTGCCTGTCTTTAACTTAGTAATCATGACTCACTCATCGGCGCCAGAAACGTAATGTGCCCTTGCATGCACAACTGAAAGGTCACTAAAGCAGGCCTGTTAAAACATAAGGTCCGTAGGCGGCATGTAGCACTTTATGAACACACGATCAGCCTGTGACACTTTATTTTATGCAGACTAGCAAAATGGCAACAACAACAACAAACACACACGCACAACTGTGAATTAATAATAAATACCCCTGTGTGGGTTCCAGGGCACTATTACAGGGAAAACAAGAATATACCCACTGCCTACCCAAAAGCATGTCGTAACAGTCCACTAATTGGGAGCTTTCTTCGAAGTCGGAGTGCATCTTCCTGAGAAGCAAGGAACCAACAGTTTGCACACAAATGTGCCAGATCTGTCAAACAGATGCACATATAACACTTAGGTTCTGGAACAGGACTGCTGGTGAACGCAAAGAAGAAGAATAATAAATACATTGTTGTAGTCTTAAATATCGTGCCTTACACTCCCACCGCTGTCTGTGGAAAAAGTCTGTGATGAAGTCACGAGATCTTCAACGGTACGACACTCATATTATTGTCTGAATGCCACACTCAAGATTCCAGGAGATCAAAGAATAGGCCCTCTGCCTTTAACAACCATGTTGCAGGGAGCGATTAATTGGTGGGGGGGGGGGGTGGGGGGGGGGTTGGGTCTTTAAATGCGGAGTGTATCTGTCTAAAAGGCAAGGAACCAACCGTCTGCATACAAAAGCTCCAGATCTGTCAAACAGATGTGCACTCTAAAAGTCAAGTAATGAATCGAGATCAAAGTTTTGTAGGCGATCAACCAGAATTTTCCGTCGGATGTTACATCCGGTAAACACAAAGAAGAAGAAAGAGGAGGAGTAGAAGGTTGAGCAGGAAAAAAAGAAAAAAGGGGGAGCAAGAGTAGGAGGAGGAGGAGAAGAAGAAAAATATAAGAAGACGAAGAAGAAGACGAAGAAGAAGAAGAAGAAGAAGAAGAAGAAGAAGAAGAAGAAGAAGAAGAAGAAGAAGAAGAAGAAGAAGAAGAAGAAGAAGAAGAAGAAGAAGAAGAAGAAGAAGAAGAAGAAGATGAGGAGGAGGAGAAGGAAGAAGAAGAAGACGAAGACGCAGAACTAGAAGAAGAATGTATCATCTACATACAATAGAAGAGAGAAATATGCATCATCTTTGGACTATTCAATAAACATTGGTGAAATTCACAGTACGAAATTACTTTTTTTTTCTTAATAATAATGATTGCAATACGAAAGGTATTTAAGCGTGTAAACGCGATAGCCTTGTCTCTCATTTCCACGGACACACATTCTCAACAAACACATTTATGCACATGCGCCCACATAAATATACATCAAACACACACCTTCTGTATTAGACAGACGGGTGTGTGTTTTGTCTGTGAATTGAAAGGTTACGGCAGAAATATCCCGGCCGCAATTCCGCGACCCAAAAATATGCTACAGCAGCAGAACTCGGTAGATTTAAGTTTAGTCAACGGGTCAGCATTATGGCACAAGTGTAGTAACTCATAAATGCTCCGTTCTACTTCTGACTCAAGCCTGACTCCGAAGAATCTCATCGCAGTGCACGAACTCCATAGCGCCGGCGAGGATCCTAAAATAAATTGGGTTGATTTTTATGTCTAAATTTTGCCCGGGCAGCCCTGCGGTCTAAAATCCTTAGACCCGAAGACCCCCCCCCCCTCCCCCATCTTTTCCCCCAACCTACACCGTACGTGGCTACATTACTAGGCATGCGGTCTGAAATCCTTACGCCCAAAGACCCCCAACCGCCCCCCCCCCCTTTTTTCCCCACCAACCGACACCGCAAAAGGAATAAATACAGACAGTAATTTGCGATTGTAAATATGTCTGAGCACGCGCGCTTGTAAGTGTGTGTATGTGTATGTTGAGTTGATTCAAGAACCGACGTCACAGCACTCGGGGCATTTCCATAAGCCCCCCGTCTTCACCTTCAGCAGCCAGTGCAGAATTCCAAATACCAATAGTGCTAGTAGCATTCTGATTGATTATATGTCCATTTGACCTTTCACCTGAGCGTCGAGTATGAGCCAGACCCTCTCGTCACTTCCAGCTGTGTCACTCTCATCAGACTGTGGTGATCCATTTGCTCCTTGTTGTGCAGAGCCAGTCAGTCTGTCCGCCTGTTCATTTTCCAGCACACCGGCATAACCCAGAGAAACAGATCCGAACAATGCCCCTCACCAATGACCTCCGAAGCGAAGGATGCAACTCTGCACGAGTGTGTGTGCTGAAATCATACATGTTGAGCCGAAAGGTGTAGTTATCGCATCCTAACTGTGAACTGCAACACAGCATATTAAGAGCCCTCTAAAGGCGAACAAAGAGTATGGTAACATTTCAAGTGTTCCCATCAACAGATTTTTACCCTTGTGATACCATACACCCCCCCCCCTCTCCCCCCGTTTAGCACATTCGGGTACATCTGGCTAGTGTCGGGTATGATAGTTACAGGTGACTAAAAAAAAACTTTGAAAGGTTAAAAGTCAAAGTTACAATGATTGGGAGAATCAGCTTCATTAATAAGGTAAGTAAATAATCTTTTAATGCGCCTTCAAGAGTTTTGAGCGTATAGGGCCAGACCTATATTTCATAAACCAATCGGCACTGGGTGGGTGATATGGTCAGCATCCCACCGGTCACCTTTACTTCTCAGGACCGTACCTGGTACCCACTTAAGGCTGGGTCGACCTGAAAGCCAAGGTCCTTTTCGAAAAAAAAAAAAAAGTCCGGCTCGGCCAGGACCTGAACCCAAGACCTTTTGATCCGCAGGGGAGCTTGTGGCCACTACACCACAACGGCAGTGTACACCACAGTGTACAAGGTTATCCTATAAGGTTTACTTTATTTCCGCAGAACTTTGAGCTCCTTGGCTATAGAGTCACATAATGCACAATCTCGGTTGCTCCAGCTACGATCTCAAGAGATCGCCGCAAAAGTTGCTTTTGTGAACTGCACGACGGATCCGCAAAACCAACCCATGGCCTTCAGAGCGCGGGACTAATATCTGATCCATTTCGTCATGGAGCCCTCAATAAAACCCTTAGGTGGTTCTTCTTCTTCGTAGCGGATCTGGTATAAGGATATGCAGCCTGTTGGTTCCTCAACTTTCACGCCTAGGTACTCGTACTTCGGAAGAAAACACCTCTTTTTGTTTCTTTTTTCGACATGCCTGTTAATAGTTGAACGGTATGTAGCATTTATCTATTGGATTGACATTTAAGATTTTCTGAGCATCAGTCAGAGAGAATAAAGTTAGTCAATGAGCTCGTCATGTGTAAAAGTGCCTCTTATGTTGAGTCACAGATTGGGAAAGAAATCTTGCAAATTCTTTCCCCCCCCCCCCCCCCAAGCCGTCCTAATGCGGCACATGTAGCCCTTGTTAGAATATAAAACACTTCATTTCTTTATTCCTTACTAGAAAACTGCTATAACCTCCATTAGCTGATTAAAGAAAACCATATGTTGCGATAAATTCTTCTTCCTCCCATACTCCGGTTAGCTCATCGAAGAAAGATGGAACGATGATGTGTGTGCTCTTGCTAGTACATTGCGCAAATTAGTCTTCTATTCTATGCAGTCTTTCCTTGTCTGTTGAGATGAGAAAAACAAGTTCTAGGAGCTAAATAAATCATAATAAGACATACGGAATTAAATAATGTACAGTTGGACAAATAGTGATTGTATGTGTGAGTGCGAGTGCGTATGCGGTGCGATGCGATGCAGTTTTGTAGACGCATGTTGAGAAAACTCTGGTAAATAAAAGAAGTGTAATGAAGGTGTCTTGAAAGAAAATGACTCACGAATAGAAATTATTGTTCACATCATGTCATGAGTAGGATAAAGCTGCAGTACATTTGGACATTGGAAAGTTGAAGGGTAAACGAAGCAGGGGAAGATTGAAAGAGAAGATGTTGGACAGTTCGACATCATGGCATGGAATATCATCTGTGTCAGGACTAATTGAAATTGAAAAGACTGCCGACGCCGCGCGGCATGGACAATACGAAGTTGATCTTCATTTCTTGGAGGCTATTCTTGATGCCTTCATTTCTTCTCTGCGACCAAGACATTCTTTTCAGATGGGCAATTCATCTCATCCGCTGTTCTTTAATGAACTGTATAACGGTTTTCAGGCAAGTTACAGTGGAACAAGAGGTGAAGGAAAGACGCTGGCGTTGGATAGGTTATATGCTGAGAAAACCTGAGAACAATATAACTAGAATGTCTTTGCACTCTAAATAAAGGAAGACAAAAAACACACGGAGAAGGGAGTGAAGTTAAAAAGATGGGGAGGACATGGCGAGAGCTGCATGCGATAGCGAATGATAGTGTCGCGTGCGGATGTGCACTAGAACGCACCAGTACTGAGTGAGCAAATAGGACGCCAAAACAATACGTAATGTTGTTAAGGGATTGTTGTCAAAAGCTTTCTATGTTTACAATCTGTAGTAGACAGACGTGTGGATCCTTGAGGATGCTTTACCCCTGGATGCCACTGAAGGAATGGTAATCAAAGTTGGATCCTTGAGGACGCTCTTCCCCGGGACTCCCCTGTAAACCTCAGCATATAGCTTGTATATTGGTTGTCTATTGTGCTCGGCATGAAGCCAGTATACTTATACTACCTTGTTCAGACTGCAGAAGAGAAGATCGAGATGACTGTCCGGATTTCCAAGGTCGGACTGAGATCGATGTGACGGTCCCGAGTTCCAAGGTCGGACGGCGACCCGTCGTTTGTTATGGTCAGTTGATGTACGAGCGGGCTTGTGTTGGTGTGCTTGGATGAGTCTGGAGTTTATTTAAAAACATATTTTCTTATCTGTTGATCGAGTGTATATATAAATACACCAGTTGGAACTTAACTCATAGCGTCGTTGTTCAACTGAGTTTGAAAGCATTGGAGTTCCTACTGTTCTACCGTTTGAAAGCATTGGAGTTCCCACTGTTCTACCCCACTTGGCCTATTTCATCGTTGGTACGCCACACATCACCATGAAGCCGCCGCACGTCACAGATAGAACGGCATGACATGGGTTGGTTGAGGGCCCGTGCTCTGTTGGGGACTAGAAAGGCAGCAGCCTTCATTTAATAAGTATGTAATTACCTTTAATTCATCCAATAAAGGATTTCCTACTTTCTCTATACTTTCAGATTCAGGATTTTGAATTCGCCGACAGCGAAAATGGAGTTAACATTGTGAAAAGAGCTACAGGCTACATATATGACGATGAGGACTTCCAGGACGATGATGCTGGTTCAGCCCCCGACACTGGTTACACTGAGTACGAGGGAAGTGGCACTACAGCAGTGACTACAACCACTCGGAGGTTCGATGTGGTGGATTACCCACGTAAGTTGGGGTCTGCACGCCTGTCTGTCTGTCTAATCTGTCTAATCTGTCTGTCTGTCTGTCTGTCTGTCTGTCTGTCTGTCTGTCTGTCTGTCTGTCTGTCTGTCTGTCTGTCTGTCTGTCTGTCTGTCTGTCTGTCTGTCTGTCTGTCTGTCTGTCTGTCTGTCTGTCTGTCTGTCTGTCTGTCTGTCTGTCTGTCTGTCTGTCTGTCTGTCTGTCCCAAGCTCTGAATGCAGTGAGTTCGTATTTTGACTTAACTGTTCCGTGTACCAGTGAACATGTTTTGGAGATCACCCAGATGGTGGCTGAGATACGGAGTTCGCATTTTGTACGTCACCCTATAGAGATGGGCAGTGGTTCTTAGGAAAGGTACTGAACCTTATCCGCTATACACTAGTCGATCCTCTCACCTTTAATAGCTTTTGGTGAGGACGCTAATAATGAAGTGGAGGAGAAGAAGGAGTAGGAGGATGAGGCGACGATAATAAGACGAAGAAGAAAATATTGATGAAGGTGAGGATGATGATTATGACTACGGGGTCAAAGGCGTATGAGAAGAAAACAGCGGAGGAGTTAGTGATAAAGGAAAAATGGACGAAGAATAAGCAGTAGACGAAAATAATGACTACGCCGATGATGATGGTGGTGATGATGGCTAACACGGGATGACCAACAAGTAAAAATAAACACGATGAAGAGGGAGGTATTGGTGGTGGAGAAGAAATTCAAATGGAGGAGAAAAAGGAAATGTGGAGGCGTAGGGTAAGAAAAGAAGAAGGGGCGAGGAGGAGAAGGAGGAGGAGGGTAGGAGGAGGAGGGTAGGAGGAGGAGGAGGAGAAGAAAATAAGAAGAAGAAGAAGAAAAAGAAGAAGAAGAAGAAGAAGAAGAAGAAGAAGAAGATACGAAGAAGAAGAAATGATGATGATAACGAGAAGGGATCACACAATCATTTTACTGCGACCCTGAGATACAAGCAGTCTAGACACATTACCCGGAACTCCCTTTCAAAGCCTGCCGTCTGCTCGACGAGTGAAATGTTTGTGTGAGCCCAAACGAGATTTGTTATCTTCAGCTTTTCACGTATACACACAGAAGCATTGCACAAGATGGAAGGCTCCTCCAGTGTTTATCAGATCGTCATTTTGACAGCAATAAGATTTGAAGACACTGGAAGCTTATCGGGGAAAGCTCGGCGCTGCGGTCATCGCCTTTTAACCAAAACTCTAAGAGAATGTTATTTTGACATGAGATAGCGCTCTAGATCGCAGTTAAAGACCTGGCTAGAAAAGGTAACATTTCCTTAACATGACGTCACATACAATATTTGACGGGTAAGGCAGGAACGCCAGAAACTACAAATATTTTATTGAAAATGTATAAATATGCTTAGTGCCCTCTCCTATTCGCCTCTCACTTATCTTCCTTCCCACAACCATTACAAAAGTTCTCTTTCAGTTATTTATTACACACTTCGTATTACTTCCTGTGCTATATTTAATTGCCATTAAATGCATATTATTATTATTTTCTTCTTCTTCTTCTCCTTCTTCTTCTTCTTCTTCTTCTTCTTCTTCTTCTTCTTCTTCTTCTTCTTCTTCTTCTTCTTCTTCTTCTTCTTCTTCTTCTCTTCTCTTCCTCCTCCTCGTCCTTCTTCACTCATCGTAACAATAAATATTATTAGTATTAATAATTTTACACACTTAAATAAGACATAATTTATGTGCGGCCCCTCCCCTGAGCATTTTAAGGGGTCTAAGCGTCCACACACCCAGTGTTTTCTTTGTATCGCTACCCCCCTCCCCGATATATTGTGTTGTCTTACAAGGTAGTTTCAAATTCAAGTAATTTGCAGTTGACTTTGAAGCCGGTCCTGTTTGTGATCAATAATTTCAAGTCACAGAACAGCATCATGGATCAATCAATAAAGGTCGAATGCAATAGATTCTGTAACACACTCTGTCTTTCGCCCTGGATGTGTTAGTCAGTCGGGTCTGAGGCTAAACAAAGGACAGGAAGCTTCACACTTCAGCCGGTACATTTAAGAGTCGAGTCTCACAGTTTGCAAAGCTCTGCACTTTAGGTTCATACATGGCTAGACCTATATTTTATAGACTAATCGGCACTCGATGAGTGATGTAGTCAACTTCCCAGGACTATACCTGGTACTCACTTAAGTCTGGGTCGATCAGCCAGGGTCCTATCCTATTTGAAAAATGTCCGGTTCCATCAGGACCCAAACCCACGCACTCTGCACTAAACACTACCTAAATACAGTGTTCCTCAACCAGTTTATACACACGCTTCACCAAAACAGAGGAAATTGTTTCACGGCCTACCTAACAGCTTACCTAACACAAGACACAACAACAGAGGAAATTGTTTCACGGCCTACCTAACAGCTTACCTAACACAAGACACAAAAACAGAGGAAATTGTTTCACGGCCTACCTAACAGCTTACCTAACACAAGACAAAAACAGAGGAAATTGTTTCACGGCCTACCTAACAGCTCACCTAACACAAGACACAAAAACAGAGGAAATTGTTTCACGGCCTACCTAACAGCTCACCTAACACAAGACACAAAAACAGAGGAAATTGTTTCACGGCCTACCTAACAGCTTACCTAACACAAGACAAAAACAGAGGAAATTGTTTCACGGCCTACCTAACAGCTTACCTAACACAAGACACAAAAACAAAACAAATGTAGACGACATAAACTGCTGTTGTTAAATCCAGTGTCACAAAATGACAGTTTTCATCTAACTCGACAGCTGAAACTGTTTAGAGTTAAGAAAATCAGATCCACGTGGATGGCGCGTTGATTTACCGGAATTATATAGCCATGGCAGGAGTTATATTTCTGATTTCCCAGCACAGACTAGAACACCTATTTGGGCAGTAATGAAGATAAAGATTAGAGTGGGCTGATAAAATTATTAATATACGAATACAAAAGGCAAGAGGAGCTTTCATAGCACTGTTGTGTGGAGCGGAAACATGAAGAATAATTATGGTATGATAGAGTCACTAATTGTGGAGGTTTTGGAGAGAACTAAACAAATTCCAGTGGACCAAGAGGTGAGGAAAAGACTCTGGTTTTGGATTGCACACACGTTGAGAAAACCCGAGAACAATATAACTAGAATTTCTTTGCAATAATTGAAAAAAGTATTAATAATTGTACGCTCTTAAACAAGACATAAGCTCCGTGAGGTCCAGTGCGGTCCCGTGGCTTAGAGGCTAGCGAATGCAGTTAACAATTTCATGACCCTTGAGTACTGTGGTTCGTTCCCGCGGTGGACGTGAAAAATCCGTTTTCATAGTTTTCGGACAATGGTACGAGAGTCGCACGGTGGAAGATATTTTGGCCTCACTATGTGATATCCTCGAAGATAACAGTGATAAACTGTAGCCTACCTCCATTGTGGAGACGGCACCGAACTTTAGTCTTTATACCGCAAGCTAGAGAGGCATAAAAGTAAAGGACGACCCAAAAACACATGGAGAAGAGAGCTAGAGAGGGGCGTTAAAAAGATGGATAGGACACGGGAACAGCTGCATGCGTAAGCGAAGAATAGAAAGACTTGGCGTGAGTTGGTTGAGGACCTATACTCCATTGGGGATTAGAAATGTAGAATAACAGGCGTTATGTTCCTTATTCCCAGCAGGGACTAAACGACAAGTTACTTTGCCTTCAGGTACTCGAATATAGCTGGTTTATACGGTTGAGCGTGGTTCATGCGATTTGTAAGTAAGTAAAAAGTAAAGGATATTTTTCCACGTCTTCAGGTGTATTGGGCATATAGGGCTAGACCTGTATTTCATAGACAAATTGTTACTTGGGGGTGACGTGCTCAATATCACGCCGGTCACGTTTACTTTTCTGGACTGCACCCGGTACCCGCTCAAGGCTGGGTCAACGTGGCAGCCAATGTTATTTTTGAAGAAAGACTGGTTCCTTCCCGACCCGAACCCACAACTTTCAGATTCGCAAGTCTGGCATTTGTACCGGTTTGATTTACATCAGGGAAAAAAAAAAGGGGGGGGGGGCGATCCTACAGACTGCAATCATGGAAGAGATAAACTTCCTACCCTTCCCGGGTACATAATTAGGCCTACCTTTTTGGCAGCCTGTCTGGACTGCTCCGCGGCCAACTAGCAGGAGCTTCACGGAGCAGGGCACTCACTTTCCCTGGCAATCTAAAAGTCTGTCGATGAAAGCTTAGAACATAGTCTAAAGCCTTGTGGATGTGAAAAGCAAGAGGAAACTACCACATTATTTTGCCAAGAAAAAACACGAACTGGATAAGAGAGCGATGACAGTGGAAGCAAGGATAGTTGCGATAACGGCCTTGAGCCCGGTGGTACTACAACAGAAAATTCTGACACGGGACTAAGATAACTCCAAGATTTGCTAATAAAAGCATTTCTCGGAAGCTGTCAGATTTTGGTCAAATCAAGCGCATTGGCGGATGAAAAAATAAATAAATAATAGCAAAAGGCATGGTACCAGGAAGGAGGGATAGGAACTGACGAATAGGCAAAGGATATAAGTGACTCCTTGAGTATGAAAGTACACGAAGCAGGAAACCGAGTTTCTTTCATGCAGACTGTTATGAGAGCTACGTCATGAAAAGGACCTGCTACATGATGATGATTGGTTGAAGAACGCTGCGCCCTAGTGTACTCTATTGCCCTAGATATCACTACCGCTTGAGGCGGCGCGGATAAGTTTTCTTAGGATTCCATTGGTTGAAACATGAGCACCCAAGTCACTGCTATCGAGAGCTTATCCGAAACGCCAAGTGTCAACAGTCGAGGATTAACCCTGCATTCTCTGATGTCATGTGCTGAGTGGCGTAGACTAAAGTGTAGAAGTGGCTTTAGTTCAGATTTACCCGGTCCAGATGTAACTAGAGTTAGTACTGACATGTTATGTCTGGCCGGCTCCGATATATGTCAGGGAACCTTTGGAATGTGAATGAGCAAATTAG